TCATCTTGGTAGCGATCGATTATTTTACTAAATGGGTGGAAGCAGCATCTTATGCTAATGTAACCAGACATGTGGTAGTCAGATTTATCAAGAATCAGATCATTTGTCGATACGGCATCCCGAGCAAGATCATCACTGATAATGGTTTGAATTTGAATAACAAGATGATGAGAGAGCTTTGTGAAGAGTTCAAGATCGAACATCATAATTCTTCTCCTTACAGGCCGAAGATGAATGGGGCTGTTGAAGCTGCTAACAAGAACATCAAGAAGATTGTCCAGAAGATGGTGGTAACTTAAAAAGATTAGCATGAAATGCTTCCGTTTTCTCTGCATGGATACCGTACTTCAGTTCGAACTTCAACAGGCGCAACCCCATTTTCCCTAGTTTATGGTATGGAAGCAGTACTCCCCGTGGAGGTTGAGATTCCGTCTATGAGAGTGTTGATGGAAGCTAAACTTTCTGAGGCTAAATGGTGTCAAAGTAGATATGATCAGTTGAATTTAATTGAAGAAAAGAGATTGACAACATTGTGTCACGGTCAATTATATCAGCAGAGAATGAAGAAGGCTTTTGATAAGAAGGTTCGACCACGCGAGTTCAGAGAAGGCGACCTTGTGCTCAAAAAGATATTATCTTTCCAACCTGATTCTAGGGGCAAGTAGGCTCCGAATTATGAAGGACCGTATGTCGTTAAGAAAGTTTTCTCTGGAGGTTCCTTGATTCTCACAAATATGGACGGTGAAGAGCTCCCACGCTCCATGAACGCCGATGCAGTCAAGAAGTATTTCGCTTAGGTTTGAGTTGACAGTTTGCTAAGTTGAAAACCCGAAAGGGCGGCTTAGGCAAGCTTTTGGTCAGACCAGTCTTGGAATTTGAACACATTTCGGAATTCGAAGTTGTTAGGGAGAATAATGATCATTGTTTTTGCGTAACCTTTTTCTTTCATGTACTATTTCCCAAACTTTTGTAAACCGTTGGAGTCGCGTTGTTAGTGAACTACCATCTTATTAATGAAATTTGAGTATTTACCTTTTGTGGGCAAAATTTTAATTTTACGGAAATATTTGAAACAAAGTTATTTAAAGTATTCTTATTTTAAAAATGTGTCGTGAATAATGAAAGGAATATTAACAGTTGTTCCGAGTATGGTCAAGCCATGAAATGCAAAACAATATAGTAATTTATCCTTGCATGATGAACATGTTTTCTTTCAAAATCGTCACGAGGTGTTGGTTGTGTAAACTTTTGTTTCTAGTGGTACTAAGTTTGGTGACTCCCCAGCTTTTCCAGTTAAGCGTTGTTTTGGTTATCTTTATTTGAGCAGATTTCCGTAGTGTGGTACGCTTTGTCTCATGCCAGTAGTCTATTGGTATTAGAAGTTTGGATTTGAATACTTTTCTCCTCAGAAGACTTGAGCCTGGTAGCGTGGTACGCTCTGACGTTGCTTTGTGGTTCCAGTTCCAGTTATTTTCCGTCTTTTTTAAGATTGGCCGAGTATCTATTATGTCGTGACATCTTATTGTCTTCAAGTTATTCCATCTGTTTGTTTTGTCAGCATAACATTCATTTACTCATTTACACTTATATCAGCATGCATATTCACATTTGTCGTTGATTTTGGGTTGTATACTTTGTTTATTAAGACAATGTACATGTTCTTTCCAAGTAGAAGGTTAGCTTAGGCAGAAAATGTGCTTCCTTTCTAAATTCCCCAACTGAACTAATCCTCGTGGATTTTTTTTGATTTAGCCTACCTTGTCCATTTCTGGATAGGATGAATCCCCCAATCAAGTTACTTTCTCATTGGGTGGAGTCTTGTTTGACTGTTTTCTCTCTGGTTTATTCCTGGAGGGAGTTGTTGTCTCTTGCATAGGCTATCTCATGATTTTCCCCAGTGAAGTCGCCACCTAGACGAATGGTGCATTTATTTTGCGCATTTAAGTATTTGATCTCCTCGGGAAGGATCTATTCATGGTTCTCTTTGACGAAGATTTTATTCTCTGGTAGTGCTATTGCAATTTTCTTCTGATTTATTCTTCGGAAAACGGCAAGCGGCAGCTCTTCATGAGCAACTTGTACGTTATTATTTTTGGAAAACGACAAGCGGCAGCTCTTCATGAGCAACTTATACGTTATTATTTTTGAAAAACGACAAGCGGCAGCTCTTCATGAGCAACTTGTACGTTATTATTCTTGGGAAAATGGCAAGCGGCGGTCTCTTCATGAGCAACTTATACGTTATTATTATTTTGGAAAACGGAAAGCGGCAGTCTCTTCATGAGCAACTTGTACGTTATTATTTTTCTGGAATACAGCAAGTGGCAGCTTCTTTATTTGAGCAGCTTGTATGTCATAGTATTTTTTTGGAAGACAGCAAGTGGCGGCTTCTTTGCTTGAGCAGCTTGTATGTTATAGTATTTTTGGAAGACATCAAGTGGCGGCTTCTTTATTTGAGCAGCTTGTATGTTATTGACATCCCTGGACGACAGCAAGTGGCAGTTTCTTTATTTGAGCAACTTGTATGTCATAGTATTTTTGGAAGACAGCAAGTGGCAGCTTCTTTATTTGAGCAGCTTGTGTATCTACAACCATATTATTATTTCAGCATTAATTAGTATATCTCCGGAAATCTCGCAGAGAAGTTTGTTATGAAATCTTTGCTTTCAGAAGTCGGTAGTCCATTATAAGCAAAATTGATACATCTTTTGTCTATCTTTGACCTTGAGTTGTGAACTCACTGTTATTTTGGGTCAATAATCTGTTTTTGTGGCCTATGCAAGATGCCTTCTTTGTTAGGGTCAGAGGTCGTATTCTCTCAAATTTTTATTCGCCGTCAAGAGTCTATCATTTGAAGTCGATGGCTTATTTCCCCAGTAGTGTATAATCTATGTTCTTGTGATTTGTTGGTGTTTGGCTTCTCCAACATTATCTTGTCTCATACAATATCATTCTCTTAAATTTAAATACTACATTCATATCACAAACATAATGGCGGTATCTTAGGGCAAAATTTGCATATTGTGTATTTAAGTACCTTCAATCTCGTCGAAACGAAGATTTTAATCTTCATATCTCCGGATAGAAGAAACTTAAATAGGGGCAGCTGTCATACCCCAAATTTTGACCTAAGATACCACCTCCCATCTGCATTATTACATAGCAAGCGTTCACAAGCGATTCGACCTATTTTTGCTATTTTCTCGGGTCAGATTTCAGAAATTCATAACTTCTTCGAATTTCGACATTTTTTTAGTGGTTCTTTTACACATGATTCTCCTTGACAACAACTACAACTTTCCTTTAGAAGTCAAGAGATGATTATTTTTTGAAATGCCGCGAAAGAATGAAAACGTTAGAAGTCGCTTTATGAATTTAATGAAATTTGATCATGTCTTGTCCAACCTTTACCAAATCGTGCATATCGCACATTTTTTTGTCTTGTATTTATCATTTTTGTATTATTTAAAAAAATCTAAAAAAAATATGTATTTTAGTTCATGTCATTTTTTACAAACGCATTATTAGAAAAATCACAAAAATATTTATAATTAGCATTATAGTATTTTAAATTCGCAATTCTTAATACAAAAAAATATTAAAAAAATTAATATAGTTTAATTGGTTCCATTTAGATTCATGTTTTAGTATAAATTTTAATCCAAAGAAAATCTCAAAAATGTAGTTAATATCTTTTTTCCTTTATTTTACATTTTTTTGATTATTTTTAGTCATTATAGTTTTAATTTCTTTTAATCCAATATTGATTTTGATTTGATTCTAATTTTAATTCAATTTTAAAACTGAATTAATATTAAAATTAAAATAAAATTAATTTTGTTTGCATCTCATTTTTTTTTATTATTATTATTATTCTGTTTTATATTACTAACAAATTGCCTTTTATTTTTATTATTACTATTATCTTTGTTTATTTGTTTTATGTCCAATAAAGTAGTGGTCCCAAAACCAATTTTTGTTGCTGCCCATAACATGCCAAAATCAGTCCAAAACAAAGCTAAAAATGTTGATGTCCAAAACTGATTTGCACCCTATTGTTGTCTTGCTGTTACTAACAATTCAAACGGTCCAAATGCTATATCACAACCTGCAAAAAGCTGCCTCATATCAGTCCAAACCAACCAAATATTACACTAATTTAGCAAGACCAAAACCTGTATCAAAAAAGCAATAAAGCAAATCACCAAATTATTCAAGCTTATCAAAATCTCCCTCCAATTTCACTTATGTTTGGCTATAAGACAGTAAAAAAAATTAATTGTAAAACCAACAATCTTCATTCATCAACAACACCTGCATAAAACAACCACCTTATTCTAAACCAAAAGAAACGGATTCAGAACAAAACTCCAATAATCAACACAACAGCAGAAGCATTAACACCAACTCATAATCACCTACAACAACATCCGCCTCATCTCATCTGTAGCATATCAACGTTAAAAACTCAAAGCTCCAGTCGATACAACACAACAAGAACACAACAAGACGTCATTCAACAACAAAAAGCATAAGAGTTGCAGCATACTCTTAGAAGCGTGAAGAGAAAAGAAATTCGTGGTAACAACACTGAGGAAAAAGAGAAGAGACTTACCTCGAGGAGTCGTCACTCCGATAACTTTCGGACAGGTAACACTGTTATTATTAAATTGTTGTTTTGGTCTTAAGAATTTTCATGGTATCGTAAGGATTATATCTGATGTGGTACTTGTCTGCTTTTCAAAGATTTCTTTATTGTTATGAATCATTCTTGTTGTTTGAACCGTATTGAAAACAGAATTACTTCCTAATCCAGTATTACATCAACCATATCAAGAAAATAAATCAAAACAAAGTAGTCCACACTTAATCCATTCATAAACCAAAGAATTAGTTCAAGCAAACTTTAATGCTTGTTCACAAATCTATAAGCCAGTAAAAATAGATCTGCATAACCAGATAAACTTTGCCTTGCATCAAAAAATAAAAAAATAGAGAAAATGAGAAACTCAAACAAATCTAATTACCGTTTCTTTTTTGTGAATGAGGTTCATAGATTTGATAAATCTCAGCTTCCTCACACTAATCTCTCCATCTCACAGAATTGCCATCGCCATCTCGTTACCGCCGATTTAGCCTTCGAATCTTCCTTCCATCAACCACCACCATCCTATACTCCATTTTCTGGCTGCAGTTTTTTTTTGTCCAACAACAGACCCATCATCGAACACACATGCATTACTCCCTTTGTCTCCTTTAACAGAAACCCGTGGTAGCCACTTATCCCCCTTAGTCTCGTGGTACCCGAAGAAAGTCACCGAAATCGAGTTAGGCAGTACTCGCCCCAGTCACTTGACTGCCACAACATTGTCTCTCCAGCACGTGTGTGAGATCGCGAAGGTGAAAAAATCTGATTCGTTTTTGCACAATATATCGCTTGAGTCGCTTTCAAAATCAATTGTTGGGACTGCTAGTAGCACACGAATCAAGACTGTGAAGGATATTGATTGAATTATTTATGGGGATTTGAATAGATTGTTGTTGTTTAATCAATTGAGAGAAGATGAAGCCAAGGAAATTTTAGAAGAGAGAGATTTTTTAAGACGTAGAGGACAGAGTTTGTTTTTGGAAATGATGAGTAATATGCATTTTCTTTCCCTTCCCAATGATAACAGCAACGCGGCGCACCCTATCCACTATTAGGTTTTTTTTAAAAACCCTTCATTCCCCTTCTAGATGGAAACCGGGTCCAGGCCTAACCCGGTCTGGCCCAATAAAGTCTCTCTCTTTTTTTTTTTTTAGTTTGTTTTGTTTTTCCATGCCTTGGTCCTTATTCCAATCAGCAGGCCCATCTAAGACTTATTGATACCACTCCCTATTTTCTGTTTTAACATTACCCCTTTACTCTTTTATTTGATTTAGTTTTAATCTACTAACTTTAAAATTTTATTTTAGATTTAACCTAGTAACTTTAAAAATATATAGTTGTTAGATTTAATATTAGATTGATTAGTTTAATCATATATAAATTACAAAAAGTTTCCTTTTTTAATTAGAACTAATTAGTTTAAATTTAGAATTATTGTAATAATTTTATTTTTTATTTAGTTAGTAAACTTTAGAATTTTAATTTAGTTTAGATTTAACCTAGTAGTTTTAGAATTATTTTTAGAACCTTAGAATTTGTAGTTAGTAGAATTATCTTAGTTAATAATCTTAGAATTTTAATTTAGTTTAAATAACTTTTTTTTTAGATAATTAGTTATATTCTCTATTATTTGTATTTAAATATCCCTGTCATTTTAATTTTTCAGTGTCTTTTGGTTATTAATCTGTTTAGTTAGATTTATTTTCTTGTGAATTTTGATTGCTTATATTTTGATGTCTATTTTATTTTGCTCTCTCGATTTAATCCAAGGGAATTGTCTAATTTTTTGTCGACTTTATGTCATCAAAAAAAGCATCGTGCGAATACCCTCATTCATTAAAAACATAGGATAATTTTCCCAAATATCCAATTTCTTCAACAAAAAAAAACTCACACCTTTTAAGTCAAAACTTCGACATTAGGTCTTCGTATCTTCAAAAACTCGTCCGCACCCATCTTTAGCCAAACAAACTATTTTAATCAAACAAACAATTTTAAAAAAAAACAGATATTTCAAAAAGGTTCCTATAGGATACTATAAATACATTGGGTGCTAATACCTTCCCCTTGTATAACCAACCCCCGAACTCTAGACCTCTTTTCAAAACGCCTTGTATTTTCATTACTTTTAAAAGTATTATTTTACATTGCATTAGGGTTTTATTTCGCTCTTTTCCCTTTTCCCTTGGAAATAATAAAGCGCGGTGGCGACTCTTGCTTTTGTGAGACGAATTAATTAATAATTCGATCTCCGATTTACCCCGCTACATTTTTTATCGCTACAGTGACATTGAATTATTGTCTTCATCCTCATATTCTTTTGAAAGAATCGAATTAAGTCAGACCCAGATCCATTGAAACTCCTTCAAATTAATGATTTGTCTAAAAGAATAAAATCAGATTGAAATAGCTAATTGACCAGATTGGTTTCCCAAATTTAAAAGAATATACTTTTACGATTACCCAACCTAAGCATAACCATTAATCACTATGCTACAAATAAATTGCAAATTAACGTGAATATATACTCTAAGTTTGTGAATAAAAAATGCTTGTACATTGGACAACCTTAAAGGAGAATAAACATAAATTGCAAAGAAAACAGAGTGTTTGTAGCGGTAAAATCAATGAAGTCGCCACTGAGTATTTATTTATCCCATATGAAAGGGAAAGGAAAATCATCGAAGAAAAACCTAAAGGGGGAAGTCAAGGTCTTGCAACCGAGAGATTGGGTAAGGGAGTCGATTACGCGAGGGGAAGGTATTAGTACCGCACACGTCCATAGTGTAACGCCCGTAATTTAATTAATTATTTAATTAAATTATTTTTAGAATACTTATGAAGATGTGTTTTAATTAATTGGATTTATTATTTTTTTTAAGTGGAGAAATAATACTAGAGATATAATATTATGTGGTGAAATAATATTAAAAGTGTAATATTATTTAATGTGGGCTTATTATGAGAGAATAGAAGTAATAAGGGAGTGTGTTGATTTTAAGCCCAATAAGGAGATAATAGAATAATGAGATTATTTTATTATTTGTTGTTAGAATAGAAAGAAAGAAGCAGTAGAAAGAAATAAGGATTGGGAAAAGAACGTGCAAGCTGCTAGCGAAAGTGGAGAACGGCAGCTCTGATTTTGAAATAGGTTTGGATTTTGAAGACTTATGTTGGCAAGATCAAAGGAGGTTGTATTGGAATAATGATGAAGCCATAACTTCTTTAGCCATGAAAGAAAGAACTTTGAAGTGATCTAGAAGCACCCTTAAGGAGAATTGAAAATGAAGTTTGAAATGAATGGCTTGGAGTATGGTAGGTTTAAGAGTTCCGATCCAAATTAGGGCCAATGGTTAACTATGTAAAGGAATTGTACTTCCCTTGTATGTTTCTCGTTTTTCTCCTTGTAATGCACTCCCCTAACATGTCTGGACTTTTGTATTTTGCATGTTGACTTGTAATTTTAAGAAACAAAGTCCCTTTACCATTTCCTCCATTTTTTGCACGCTTTAAGTTCTGAATGTGACTCCCTTTAACTATGTAAAATATCCAAATTGATGCACTAAGTGGTTTATTTAGAAATATGATATTGATTTCTTCCTTTAACTATTGATTTTTTAATGAATCTTGACATTTTTGGATTGATGATTTGATGAATCTCGAATTCGTATTTTAGATCCTCCTTGAATAATACTTGAATGAATGAATCTTCCTTGAAGCCATATGAATGAATCTCCCGACCCTATCTTGAATCAACCATTAATAAAGTCATGAACTTAATAAGACCTTGAATTAATATTAACTCTGAGCATGATTAGAAGTTTCAACGAATCCAAGTCAATAGTCATTTCTCTCAGTAGTCCAAGTTAACTTGCAATTGAAGTAACAAGTATTTGATGAGAGCCAAAAAATGTATCATTCAAAACAAGTCCACAATGTTGAAGAAGGAGAAGCTCAAGATAACCACAAGATCGGGCCCTAATCCAATGATCCCCAGTTGAATCATAACAGAAGAAAACCCTCATTCTTAAGCATTGAAGAAAGATTGTAACCTGATGTTGAGGAGAGAGAATATCCCTGTAGTTTGATGATAAAGAAGTCCAAGAAATAAAATACTAGTTTGAATAAATGATTGATGGAGAAATAAACCGAAACAAGCTCATGCGAAGATAAGAGCCTTAAAGCCATACAACAACCCTAATTCCTCGAAAGAACCTTGATGAAGAAAAATTTGTATCTCGAGGAAACCTGATAGCGAAGGCATCTATGTTGCTTGAGATCTAAAACCCTAATCTCATACTAAGAAAAATAAGAGCACCAGTTGAATCAATTTTGAGTAAGACAGCAAACTCAATTCATAGAGAGAAACCCTAATGTCAAAGCTCTTCGATCTTATAACCATGAAACCAATGCTATGTGCGAAATGTACAAAGTATGATGAGGGATCTTAGGGGAAAAAATTGGGGTATAACAGCTGCCCTTATTTAAGTGTCTTCTATCCAGAGATACGAAGATTAAAATCTTTGTTTCGACGCGATTGAAGATACTTAAATACAAAACAAGCCCTATTTTTGGCCCTAAGATGCCATGGGATGCTTATGATTATGGATGTAATATATGAACTTCATGCAGATGGGCAAGACACACACTAGAGAAGCAAAAGTAGAATCTACAAATTAACCAAAAGAATTCATCCAGGATAATAAATCCCTGGAGAACAACACAACTTCAGGGATAGAAATTTGAATCTATTGGAGACGAATTGGCTCTGTTGGGGAAAAGAGAACTCAACTTCACTGGGGGTAAGATCCCGAGAGGAGACAAAGTAGCATAAACGTCAAAACTGAGGGAAAAGTAATGGATAACAACAATTAACTGATAGTTGTGAACTATCCACTCATGGAGGAGATAGCAAAAAGAGAGTAACATTAACACAGGGGATCAACAATCGCTTAGCAGAAAAGATCAATCTTACTTAAGAACGGCAATGAACTACCCACTCAAGAATGAAGGTAAAAAAAACATAGCACAATACTAACTTTTATTGAAGGTAAAGAAACAGAAGATACACCAACGTTTACTGAAGGTGGGTTACAAACTTTCCCTGGAGGTAGAGATACAAAATATGCATCGACTTTTACTGAAGGTGAGCTACCGACTTTTATTGAAGGTAGGGAGAAAAGAGAGTACACCAGCTTTTTCTGAAGGTGAGGTCTCAAAGAACAATAACGAATTTCCAAAAATTCTGGCGTTCTACTTAGAAGGAGTAAAAATACAAGCTATCTCAGATAAAGAGACTACCACTTGTAAAGATTTCTCAACAAACTTCTCTTGCAAAACTTCCTCGAAGAGATACGATATGATGGAGAATCAGATAAACTTCCCCTTGATCCTGACTATAAGCCACGAACTGGTCTTAGTTTCTTATTTAACCAAGATGTTTCACTTGGAAAGGGTAAAAATACAAGCTATCTCAAATAAAGAGACTACCACTTGTAAAGATTTCACAACAAACTTCTCTTGCGAAACTTCCTCGAAGAGATACCATTTGATGGAGAATCAGATAAACTTCCCCTAGATCCTGACTATAAGCCACGAACTGGTCTCAGTTTCTTCTTTAACCAAGATGTTTCACCTGGAAAGGGTAAAAATATAAGTTATCTCAAATAAAGAGACTACCACTTGTACAGATTTCACAAAAAACTTCTCTTGTGAAACTTCATCGAAGAGATACCATTTGATGGAGAAGTAGACAAACCTCCCCTCGATCATGACTATAAGCCACGAATTGGTATCAGTTTCTTCTTTAACCAAGATATTTCACCTGGAAAGGGTAAAAATACAAGCTATCTCAAATAAAGAG